TATAGGTTCAAATCGTTTAAGCTGACTGAAGACAGAAAATGCTGCTGCTTGTGGACAAGGTGATAGGGCCAAGGCTGCAAGATGGTCTTCAGTCGAGTTCCCAGCAACCCCCCTCTCCTTGTCAGCATTACTCCTCTTTGACTTCACAGGTGAATACATGCAAAAGACAATTAGTGGGGGAGTTACTGTTTCAGAGCTTCAGCTTCCTGAAGAGCTCCGTGTCCTTCCTACGGACAGCTGCAGTCCATTTCATAGGTAAGGTGGTCCCTCCTGTCAATTCCTCCCTTCTCTCCAGCAGGAAAGCCCTCCTTGACCTTTCACTAAAGGGCTAATCCAGAATTATAGTATGATGAAGTTGGTTACATCCTTCCCTAGCTCTGACCTGGTTTGAGATGTTGTGCTGTCAGCCTCCAAAATTTGTGTTAGAAAAGCCTGGGGAGGAGGAGTAAGCTATCTGCCTTTGTCCTGGCTCTGTGTGCATCTACCCACTTTGTCAGCATGCTGCTTTGTTAGAAAGAGAAATGTATGCATTTGGAAGGAAAAAACTATTTCTTCAACTGGAACCCCATGGATTTCCCAAAATATTTCTTGTTTTAACACATAAAGCAGTATGTGTATATCTTAGAAAGCATAAAATATTCAGACTGGCTGAAAGAAGACAATGAGTAATGCCAGAACTTACATCATTTTTTTAAAAACATCTTTTATTGATTTTTTAAAAAGAGGAAGGGAGAGGGATAGAGAGTTAGAAACATCGATCAGCTGCCTCCTGCACACCTCCCAGTGGGGATGTGCCCGCCACCAAGGTACATGCCCTTGACCAGAATCGAACCTGGGACCTTTCAGTCCGCAGGCCGATGCTCAATCCACTCAGCCATACCGGTTAGGGCCAGAATTTACATCATTTGGATTTAAACACTACTAACACCCTAGAATTTGTTTTCTTAAAAATATGCTACACAAACACACGCACACACACACAGACACACACACACATATACTTATAGCAATTTAAGTAATATATGTTTTTAATTGATTTTAGAGAGAGAAGAAGGGAGAGAGAGAATCATTGATTGGCTGCCTCCTGCATTCCCCTTATTGGGGATTGAGCCCACAAGCCAGGTAGGTGCCTTGACTGGGAATTGAACCATAATCTCTTGGTTCCTGGATCGATGCTCAATCACTGACCCACTGGAGCAGAGCTATAGAACTTTCATTTATTTGATTATTTTAAATATTTTTATTGATTTTTTGCAGAGAGGAAGGGAGAGGGATGGGATAGAGATTTAGAAACATCAATGAGAGAGAAACATCGATCAGCTGCCTCCTGCACATCCCCTACTGGGGATGTGCCCACAACCAAGGTACATGCCCTTGAGCAGAATGGAACCTGGAACCCTTTAGTCTGCAGGCCGATGGTCTATCCCCTGAGCCAAACTAGTTAGGGCAAACTTTTAAAAAAGAAACTTTGGTACACAGCTCTATCACAAATACATGCATTACATACACATCAATATTATATTTAATGACTACATAATATTAATTTTATTGTATAGATGGATTTATGAAACCAGTCCTTATTTTTGAATATTGAGACTGTGTTATCTTTTGTTTTTATAGACAGGGACATAGTGGTTAAATCTCTGCATGTCATCATGATTATTTTGTTAAGATACATTGCTTAAAAGTAGAGTTCCTGGACCCAAGGGGTATGCAGAATTTTAAGGATTTGGAACTGCCCTCTAAAAAGTTAGATTCATTTTCTCTCGTCACCAGTATGTATATGAGTATCCATTTCGCCAAACATTTGGAAACCCTAGGTAATATGTTTATAAAATTATTACCAATTTGATAGGTGGGAAAAAAAAGAAGCTTCTTGTTTTGGCTAATTTTCTCTTTAATCAGCAGCTAGGTTATGTATTTTGTCCTGTTTATTGGCAATCCATATTTTATTTTTGCAAATTATTGCGTTGTGCCCGTCCATCTTTCTGTTGGAGTAGGAGCCCCATGAAGTTTAACATCCTTGGCGCAGGCTCCACTTATCACCTGGGTCACAGCTGCTCTGAGGGCTGTTCTTTCACTAGGACACTGACATGTAGCCAGCAAAGCATCTCTTACATACATTTTTTGCTAAAATCAGTTTATAAATGTCCTTGTTCACTACTGAGCCTGGGGAAAGGGATGGCCCAAAGGCCCAGGAATTCTGGATGGACTTTACATCTGTTCTGTCTTTAGCATTAATAGCTGAGAAGATAAACCTGCATTCCATACATGAGGATGATGTGCAGCTGTTACGAAATGGTGAGTCTGGGCCTCGAACCTGGGTTCTGGGTTACATAATGGGATCGGGCAAGATAGAAAGGAGGAAGGGGCAATTCCTGACGTACATGTGACATATTTTTAAATAAAGTTTACTCTTACCGGTATGTTATATATAAAAGTTTAAGTGAAGAGAAGAGAAAGGTAACATTATTTATCATCATACCAGTTAGATAAAAGCACTGCTAACAACACGTTCTTGTCACTGCCCCTCCGTCCTATGCTCTGGGCTGACCCTGCAGAGGTGTGTAAGGCAGACATGTTTCCTTTTCCCCCAAAGAACATGCAGTTTTGTGTTCTTTTTTACTGCCTTAAATATTTTAAAATTAATTTATACTTATAGAGCCCTTGATATATTAATATTTCAGTTATTTCAATTTTTTTGCTATTCAAACAATGCTACCATGAACATTCTTATATATGCCTCCTTATATACAAGTGTAATTCTTAGTCCAGACTAGATACTAAAAAGTAGACTTTTATCATGCATGTTGAACTTAACCGAGTTTAAAGTACAACATTTTAATCTTTCATACTATGTTAACATGATTTTCAATCACCACCTTTCCCAATTACAGGCTTTTATTAACCAATATTTTAGTTCCTATTTTAAACTCATAATTTATATGCTATGATTATTATTGTTACTTTATACAAACCATAGATTTACAAAGTGTTACATGCTCACCATTCCTTTTTGTATCTCTGACCATCCCTCAGGGGTCATTTTTCTCCATTCTTCTAGAGTAAACCATTTAGAGGTTTCTTTAGTGCTGGTATCTTTTTAAAAAGTCCTCACTGGAGGATATGTTTATTACCTTGAGAGGGAGAGAGGGAAACAGAGAGAGAGAGAGAGAGAGAGAGAGAGAGAGAGAGAAACATCCATTGGTTGCCTCCTGCAACCTTTTGGTGTAGGGAATGACACTCCATTCAACTGAAACAGCTGGCCAGGGCTAGTGCTGGTATCTTTTTTTTATATACACTTGAAAAAAATTTTTTTATTGATTAAGTTATATTAGTGATGGTATCTTGATAATATACTCTCTTAGATTTTTTGGTTGTAAGAATTTCTTCTTACCCTCATCCTTGCAAGATAGCTTTACTAGTTTTAAAATTCTACACCAACAATTACTAACTCAGCACTTTGAAGACATTGTGCTATTATTTTCTGGCTTTCTTTGTTGCTAATTAGAAGCCTGCTATTCTAGTTTTTTTTTTCCTTTGTAGGTAATCCGTCCTTTTCCTCTGGCTGTTTTAAGATTTTTTTTAAGTGTTTTTTACAAGTATAGAGAATCTATCTAATAAAGAGAGAATATGCTAATTGACCCTCATGCTGTCACAAAGATGGCAGTGTCCACACCCAATAAGGAGGGAATATGCTAATTGACTGCCCCACCCTCAGAGATGTTAGAGACCACAGCCAATAAAAAGTGAATGTGCTAATTGACCACCATGCCCTCAAAGATGGCGGTGCCCACAGCCACAAGATGGTGGTGCTCAGTCCCCTGAGCCCCGCAAGAGTGGCAGGCACGCGGGAAGGCCGAGCCTACCCCTGGTGGGCCTGGGTGCTCTGTGTGCCTGCCTCCAGAGACAGCCAGTCTCCTCAGCAGCCAGGTCGCCCAGGGTCAGCCTGAGGTGCAGGCAAGCCTTGATTGGCAGCTGCCCAGATGCCCAGGGCCACCCAAGGCTCAAGTAACTAGGGCTGGCCAAGGCTTATGCTGCCGGAAGTGGCAGCAGCAGAAGTGTGATGGGGCATTGCCTTCCCCTGATCACTGGGTCACCTCCCACACCTGTGGGCTCCTGGACTGTGAGCGGGGGCAGGCTGGGCTGAGGGACTCTTCTTCCAGTGCATGAATTTTCTATAGTACCTCTAGTAATATAGTAACCAGGTACCCATACCCCAATTTCAACAAGTAGCAACTCACGGTCACCTTTTCTTTTTTAAAAGATATATGGTTTGTTGTTGTTGTTGTTGTTTATTTCAGAAAGAGGAAGGGAGAGGGAGATAGAAACATCAATGATGAGAATTATCAATCAGCTGCCTCCTGCACGCCCCCTACTGGGGATTAAGCTCACACCCAGGCATGTGCCCTGACCAGGAATTGAACAGTAACCCCCTGGTTCATGAGTCAGTGCTCAACTACTGAGCCACGCTGGCCAGTGCTCCATTATTCTTACTCTTATCAAAGTACTAAAAAAGAGGTAGGGAGTGGAAGTTGGTAGTGTGGAGAAAGAGGAGCTGCTATTCCCAATGTCTATCAGAAGAGAAAGTTTTACCTCACCTTTCAAAACCCTTTGTTCCCTTCAGTCCCTGAAGAGCCACACCTATGTTTTATATAGGATGTACTTCTGCTGACTCCCTGCCATTGCTCTCTAGTAATTACATTTGTTAATTATTGAAAACCTACTGTATACTATGTACTATTCTAAGCATGAAATACTGCAGTGAACAAAACTGATAACCTTGCCTTCATGCAGTTTACATTCTAGTCGGGAAGGGAGGAATACTCCCTCAACAAATACATAGACATAGATGTTAGATAAGCACTGTGGAGGTCACTATCTCCATAAGGCAAGGGGTAAGAAGGGCCGGAGTAGGGTCTGGGGTACCCCTCCGCTAAGGGACATTTAAGCAGAGAGCCGGAGGAAATGAGGGAGTGAACCCTATGACTCTTTGAGGGATAAGCACTTGGCATGTTCAAGGGAGCACAAGAAGATCAATGTGATGGCATGGAGTGAGCAAAAGGCAGGGCAGGAGGTGATGAGATCAGAGAACAGCAGTGGGGCCACATTTAGGGTTTTACTTGAGTGTAGGGTGCAGCATTGAACACAGTTCTTAACTCTGCTAATGGACACTGGGAAGAGTTTAGGTAGCTTTTGATCAATGGTGGGTGGTATAATTCATTCCAGGACCAAATGGAAAGGATTTTTGAATTATTCATTCTTCACTATTTTCTTTTCATTTTTTTTCTAATATATTTCATTGATTTCTTACAGAGAGGAACAGCAGTGGGGCCACATTTAGGGTTTTACTTGAGTGTAGGGTGCAGCATTGAACACAGTTCTTAACTCTGCTAATGGGCACTGGGAAGAGTTTAGGTAGCTTGTGATCAATGGTGGGTGGTAGAATTCATTCCAGGACCAAATGGAAAGGATTTTTGAATTACTTATTCTTCACTATTTTTCATACCACAGTTTCCTTCCTTGATGTAGAGACAAGACGAAGAGCATGTTTGCTTTTCTAGCTCCTGTTCCTATGTCTCAGCCCTTTTGTAGTTGAGAGTGTTATGTGTTTGTCTGAAAGTCCTGGCATGAATGCCACAGGCTTGCTGTTCTGGTGTTGCAGATGCCTATCCTCAGGGGCTTTGCCCTCTGGTTTGAGCCCAGTTAGAGTTTCCTGGTGCCTGCTGTGAGGTAATATTTGAGGGATGCTGTTTGTGAGGTAGTGGTGGAATCCTGTCTAAGAGGAAATGCCTAGCAGACAACTGGAGATAGACAAGTCCTTGTTTTCTTTACAGCTCTTTGTCGAGAGAGTAAAATGGTAAATGACTTCTAAGGGTACTTTCTTTCACAAAGTCTGCATTACTCAGACAACTTTCAAATACTAGATCTCTTGATAATGAGCCATGTGAACTTGGGCCAGTTACTTTGCCTCTGTGCCTCAGTTTCTCCATTGGCATCATGAGGATAATAGTGCTGATCTTGAACATTGTTTTGATGATTGAACACAAAACATGGGAAGCACTGAGCTTTGCTGGGCACATAGATGTCCCACAAAACATCTGTGTTGAACTGACTCAGGCTTCTGGGCCAGGGGAGGGGTGGTATTGGGAGAGCAGGTAGGGAGTATATTTGTAGCTAAGGGAGTATATTTGTTGCTTCCCAGAGAGAAGCTATGCTACTGCTAGCACATTAACCATCAGCTGGTAGCATCTGCCCTCTGAGGGCTTGACCCTGGCTTCATTTCTG